TTTCCCCAATGCAGTGCTCGCGAGATAGCTTGAAACAAATCGACCGCTCCAAACTTCGCCAGTTATCGTTTTCCTGACATCGTAATTTGTACAGATGAAATATAAGCCTTTTACGACTGCGCTGTTTATTATGGCTCTGCAAAAAACGCAAACATTTCCGGTAGGTAGTCGCAGTGAGTTGGAGTTTACAGCCCAGAAGGCTCCGGTTCCGTCTCTCTCGCTCTAAAAATTTAGTTACTCAAGAAGCACGTAATCCGGCCAGCAGCTTTGCTCGTGACAAAGCATGCATTGTTGCAAGTTTATCATTAAAGCCATAGCGGCGCGTGGACGTCATTGATGTTTGGAACGATATCTAGCCTGCACGTTTTCTTAGATTGTCCCACGGTCACAACTGCATTGCATTTTATTGGAAGTCCGGCAGCAAACGACGCACGCTCGCTCTGTCGAACAGTCTGTCAACGTCAGCTCGTCGAGTTTGGTCCAGAAGTATGCGGTGCTACTGCAGAAGATGGAGAAACATGATATTTGTCCTTCCGCAAATGCGAATGCAAATGTAGGCTCAATGTGTATATTGAGGATGGAAATACACAATACACTACGCCCCTTAAAACCAGCTGATTCCTCTATCCATCAGCCGAACTTACTACGCTAAAGGCCTTTTTAAGACAAGTGAAACGTAGCTCATAGCAGCTAAGGTACATCATCTCAGTAGAGGAGTCCTCCGTGACCGTGGCCGAATCCGTGATGGAATCCTCCGTGGAATCCTCCATGGAATCCGCCGTGATGTCCGCCGAGGTAAGGATACCCGTAACCCGTGCCGTAGACAGTGGCAGGAGCGTCTGGAAAAACATCGACGTAACGAATGAGCAGGTAGAAGAGAACAGAGCGGTGTAGTTGTTACGATCCTGATGCGCTGAAACCATCGGCTGTGTTTTCACTCTGAAAACGCGCGCAGTTTCCCAAGTGGATAAATAGATAGATAACTAAATGCATATAAACCGGAAATGACGAGTCCAAAGATTCGTTTCATATCAAATAGCATCGGAAATTTCGTTTAACGGTAACACCGGAGTGGCCCAAGAAAGCAGACTGGCCTTCATTGAGCCTATTAATGTACTCTTGACTTATCATTTAGTTAAATACATTCAGATCCTCCTCTATTTTGATATATCATCTGCTGTTAATTGTCTTAATGCACTTCTTGAGCCGGTCAATGTAACTAATACAAGTTGTTCAGTGCATTTGCGAGCAACACTATGCATATAAGTAGGACCGTAGTAATAGCCTTCTACCTCGGAGAAAAACCCGGGGAAAAAAGATGTAGATGCATTGACATTTCGGCAACATGACTTTATCGAAACAATAATTGTCTCGATAAAGGCATATTGCCGAAATATCAACGCAATATATCTCCATTCCCCCGGTTTTCTCCGAAGAATAAGGCTACTAACACTGTCTTACCAGCGTTGTTTTTATTACAATGAATCAGAACGAGTGAAACATTTCCAAGACCTCCGCGGGCAGATAAACGGTACAGGACTTTTTTGCCGTTTGTAGACCATGGGCTAGGTATGACAAAAACGAAGCGCACCATCAGGATGGCGAAGTTTTCATAGCAAACCAAGAACGAACAAAAACGAGACAGATCCCGGACAGCGATACGGGAAACGGGTGTCACCAAGTCACCACAAGTCATCACCAGTCATCGACGCAACCGTTGGATGAATCCGATGGAGCTGTGACTCACAGTGGTAGCCGTAGGCGTAGGGGTGGCCGGTGTAGACGCTGGTGCTGTAGAGGGCCGGGTAGAGGAAGGACTCGTCCGCCTTCAGATCCTTGGCAGGAGTTTCCTTGGCCGGGGCGGCGCCGGCGAGAGCCACCAACAGCAGAACTGCAAACTGGTGGCAGATAAGGTCAAGGTCGGTCAGCAGTGGCGTATCCAGGGAGACTCGAGGGGAGTTATGTGGAAAATGGTGGGATTTCGTGGTCAGGAGAGAATACGGAAGATAGGGCGTTCGCTGGGCGTAGGATAAAGACTTGGACGCGGACGGTGTAATCACCGAAGCATGACCGATGTTTCCTCTGACATACTGCCTGAAGATTTGCACTACAACATGCCGTGTCCATTCATCCACGTGGTTTAATCAGCAGTGATGGCAGAACACGAAGTTGTGAAGGAACGGAGGGACCCATAGTAAATATTGCACGAAACTCTGCGCGAAATCTGGAGCATGGCTTGCGGCGATGAAATTACAGTTATACGGACAAGCTTAGGTGCTTCATGACGACAACACATAAAGTATGCAATAATGGACTTGGATCTGCGCGAAACGGGTCATCTTAATATCTAATGTCCCTCGAATTCATCGTGTGGAAGTAATCTCACAATCAGGCAGGTTGCCAAAATTAATATTCCCTTGATTGGGGGGGGGGGGGGGGCAAAAGTAAACTTTCTCCGAACTTGTGCGAATTGGAACCGATTTTCTGCGAAATCACTCAGCATCTGTAGTAAATTTCTTGCTTCAGGAGAGGGTGAGCATGGTCCATGTGCTCTCCCCTGTTGGTTAGGTCACTATTCAAAACTCACGTATCTCATGCTGGTAGTTGTCAGCTGAGTTGTTCAACTCACTCTGATGAACTCGCCCCGCAGTGACGTCATTTTATACCAGCGCCACCGGCCGTGGCTTCCTCGCCGTAGCCCGCAAGCCCGACCTTGGTTTTTGCCGATTGTGCACTGCGCGTGGAACAGCAGCGATGTTCTCGTGACGCCAGGACATTATCTACCCCCTTTTCCGGTGATATTCATCGCACGCGCAGTTTGTGGTCAGCATCGCATGCGTGAAAATGCCCACTTGCTGCGTGCAAGGGTGCAGACTCGCTTACTGTGGACGGCCTTCCCTCATCGTCATTTAGCCGGAAGTTGTGTAGCTTTAGCGACCCGGACCGGCCACCCCAGTCGCGGTTCTCGTCCTGTAGATTCCAAGAATAAGTAACAAATTTTTAATCTGTGCCGTAATACGGTTCAGGTGTTTGCAGGGAATATATTTGGTCAGGAATGGCTGTCGTGGGACACTACAATATCGTGAGACTTTAATCGTTCCTGTTTTCAGATGGACAAGGTAGAATTTGTAAACGGGGGAATAAATGGAGAACGCAGGTTTGAGCCGAGTCCTCATCCCGCTAACATTCTCACCTCTTACCTTGGTGACATCATCATTCTCATCTGGGCTGCAGCAGTACGAGACCAGAATCGCTTGACAGCAGAGAAAACGTGCATCACATTCAGGGTAGTTGTGCTGATAAAGTGTGGATAGATCTGTACAACCAGACAAGCCCACTCCAGCCTATGCGCACCTGGGCACAGACCATTGACTTCCCCGCTCTTGGACAGTTTGAGGGTTGGCGCAGATGTGTGTAATCAGGGCCTCACAACTCATCCAACTGCTGAGAGTATAGGGCGTCGGCTGTCTCCCACCCTGGGCGGAGGAGCGGGCACTGTGGGAGAAGGAAAAACTAATGTAAAATATCGGCGATCAAAAAAGATGCAGGCGTACAACCAGCTGCGCGTGGTGGAGGTGGATGCACCGTCCAATATCACTGAGCGCGCTCCACACGGTCCCGACGCATCGCGCCGCCAGTAACTGGCCGGAAAAGGCCAATATCGCGTTTTGCAGGCCCGGTCTCGAATCTGACCTCACCTTGAGCGTTGATGGATCTCACTTAAACCTCACCTAAGAGAGGTTGGGTCATGTCAACTGTACAGACGTTTTGTCCGGCTCACTGCGACCACAAACCATGCAGAAGACTTGCAATGTTCGCGATAGTCTGATCGCAGTCAACGAAAACGCGAGTGAGATCGAATTCCACGGCCTTGTTCAATAAAGCTGCCAGGCCGGGCCAAAGTCGCCATATAAGATGAACACACCAGCCAGTCAGCTTCAGTCAATGTCCTTCGCCAGTCTGCGCGCACACATCTTATACTAGTGAACCTCCTTGCCCGCTAAAGTCATGAAAGACAGTCACTTCAAAGCGTCATAAGACCTATTTAAAGTGGTTCCCAAAGTTGATGGATTCTGTTCGCTTAAGCTGTCATGTCGTGGCATGATACCAATGCTCACGTCTGCCACACGTCCCTCGTCCCCCGCCACGAAAGACCTCTAGAAAATGAAACACATTTCGAAGCCTGCTGCTCTGAAAGCAATGACGCTAAGATTTAAACTGAACGGCCGGAGGTTTGTCGTGCAGTGAGCAGCAAGAATAGCATGCTGTCTTCTTTTCGCAGAATTCGTTAAGCCAAAAGCTAACGTCACTTCGGGCGAATGCGAACGGTAGTGTACCGACTGCAGGCAATACAGACCGCAGGCTTCTTTGACTGCAGCATTTTATTGTATGTTTGCGAGCCCTGTTCTCCATCGCATGCGCCTAAAGTTATCACACAAAATACCGACTAATACAAATTCCGGTGTGTCTTTGCGTCGTTTGAAGTTTGAAACTAAGCCACTTCAAAATTGTGTGGCAAAGTGGCTGCAAACATTGCATGACAGCTCAAAATTTCTCGTCCTTTTGATCGACCCTAGATTGCGCCTTAGGTGAACTACTTTCTTGATCCAATCCAAGACAGCGCCACGTGCTGCAGTTGCCAAAATGGACTAAATCGTCAGCACATGCATTTTATTCGGAAGATGTAGCTACGCATAGCTGTTCGGCGAATCTTGTTGTTTTTTTAAGCTAGCCTTGACCTTCTTTTTGAGCTCGATACACTTCATTATATCCCATCGGCAGCGGATAAAGCCTAGCGAACATGCGTTTGTGCATGAGCCATGGAACGACAGCATCGTTCATCATCTTCTTCACCTTCATCATCAGCTTCGCCATCAAAACCACTGGGCGTCAAGCATTTGCCTCGTTTATTGCCAACCAGCTATCGGAGATACTTCGCAGCGCTCGAACCATCAGGGTCAGTTCAGGTTTGGGAAAGTGTCGTCGGATCTGATGCTGTTCTACAGCACGTGGTGCTGGGCGTAAGGGAAGCCGAAGGGGGCGCCGGCGACATGGGCGTTGTGGTGCACGGCGGCGCCGGCTCCGTCTGGAAAGAAGCAGCGTTTCTTTACCAACACGTTCTTACACGGCACCGGAGGGGAGGCATTGATCAGAGCCCAAGTTGCATGGCTTGGTCACTCGCCCAAAGCTGAACATTTAAGGATCATTGTATGTAGGATTGTGTGCTTTGGTGGGGCCAGCAGCAGGAGGACAATTTGTCTCGTAAAGACAGCGAAAGAACATCAGTGACAGATGAAGGTCATTTCTAACGATGGTTACTTGGCACGGAATGCAACATTTGTACCTTGCTGATATCTTCAAATGAAAAAAATGCACAAGCAACCAAGCATTCCCACCAAACACGGACAGGACACTGAAAAACAAGTACAAAATACGGAGCGTCCAAGCTGCGAGTTAGTCAGCTGGCAAGCTTACGTGTGCTCAACTCCCGCGCTCACGCGCTCACACCTGCTGTACTTACGGGTCATGGCGTAGTGCTGACCCGAGTGCGCCGCGTACGGATGGGCCGCGTGCACGACGGGGTAGGCCCCAAAGCCGTGATGTCCGGAGTAGCCGACGTGGCCCAGGTGCGTGGGGTGGACGTAGGCGTGACCCAGGTGACCCGGATGCCCGGCGTGAGAGGTCGACGAGGCCACCGAGGAGTCGTCGGCAACGTGATGGGTGGCGCAGGCGGCTCCCATCAGCATGAGGGTCAGGAACTGGAGCAGAACAGGCCCATCGATCGTCAGACCTTTGGATTTCGGTATGACGGTGGCTTTCGTGATGCATGCAGCGGTCGTATATGAGAACGCTTTGCACTTAGTTGTTTCAATACGCGTTTAGACACTTGGAGATTATACATTTGTACATTAGACTATACACGCATACATTGCACTATACATGTATACATTAAACTATACATTCATACAATTATAGACTTAAAAGCTTTAGACGACAAAACGTGTCCCGCGCACGGCAACCTTGTGATAAGCTGTGAAATCTGATGGAAAGACAAGGCAAAGTCACCAGTAGTGCACTTAAGCGGTTTGCAATAATTATTCTTCCAATATCAATTAAAAAGCACATCAGAAAGCACCTCAGTCAAAAGCGAATGCACCAATATGGTCATGGACATACACTGTCCCTTCGAAAGACGTGAAAGACGAAAGAAGAAAGAAAGAAAGACGTGCAGTTGCAGTGATATTTTGAGCTTACGAATTTCATGTTGGCGATGATGATGCGATGTCGTTGGGAATCGAACTGATGTTGATGGTCAGGACAACCCATGTTTTATACCTGTACTTGCCTCCTCCTCTAAACCAATCACGTACATCGTGCTCTCCACCCTCCGGACTCCGACCGAAAAACTTGTCCTCGGCGGGCCTGGGCGGGGGGAACGACATCGCAGATGTGGAGGGAAGTGGGCGTCACATTTTGAGGATCGTCACAGGCCGCTTGGAAACAGGCCGGAGCGCCGTGACACATGACAAATGACGCATGACACATGTCACGTGACAAAAACTGGGCGTGGTCTGTCGGCACTAAAACATGTCGGGATGAGATTAGTTAGCTGCAGCTGAAGGTGGTCTGAGTGTAATGCTTGTGAATGTCGCTGATTGGGGCGTCGAACAGGATACCGTATGAGGCGTTGTCAGGAGCTTGTGGTGTCTATCATGCGCTGTCAGGAATTTGTGATGCCTCAAATGTGTCATGCAAAATGTGGTATCGCAAGTATAAGATGACCGTTAAATTAACTGTATTGCCAGAAACAGGAAAGGGTTTTTGCGCCATGATATGCACAGTGACCTCATGACTTTATGAAAGAACATCTGAGTTTGCATAGACCAAATTTCATAATCTTAACGTCCTTCAATTACGAAATGCTCAAGCCAACCTTCGCACTCAAAAGACGCAAGGTACATGGCTGAACTAATGTCGGTGCTGTTTACGGGCTGACCAGGTATTTCATGACGTATGCATCATTTCCAAAGTCTTATAAAGGGATTAGACCTGGTGTAAGACGCTCACATGCTCTGTTACTTTTTTAGAACGCCTGCAAGCCTCCATTCCTAAAACAAACATTTTAAAGGCGGAACAAGGCAGATGACTGTTCTGCCCGACCAAGGCAGAACAGCCATCACCCTGGCATTTTTCAGACCAGGGGATCGGCGAAAGAAGAATGAGTCAGTTGCCTTTCCAACCAACTGCGCTATGGTACTGATATGGCTGCTATGGCACGGTGCTCGCA